ATGGCAGTGCCAGTCCTCCGTGCCCGCGGCCCCCCTCTCCACCGCGGGTCTGACCGCTTCCTCGGGGATCAGCACGCAGCTGAACGCCTCCTCTTGCACCACCACCTCCCCGGGCGCAATGTCGGCCGCGGCCAGCAGGTGGCGACCCTTGCCGAGGCCGAAGCGCAGGGCTACGGCAGGAGACGCGCAGAGCAGGGTCCCGGTCAGGCTGCCGCTCTGTGCCTGCGGTGCCTGGCGCTCCATAACCCTTTCCCCGGCGGTACGGATCTCCGCACTGGCACTGCCCTCCTCCTCCTCCTCCCTTGCCCGCTCGAGCTGAGAGAGGCACTCTGCCCGCCTGGCCAGCAGCTTGGGCTCCAGGTGTCCGGGGTAGCCCTGGCTCAGCGCCCTGCGGATGTCCCGCAGGCACTCCTGCGAAAACAAGCAGCTGGTTTTCGGATCGGACCCACAACAACCCGGGACGTCTGTCACCACGTACCAGGTTGTCACCGAGAGCCTAACTAGACAAGGTGCAGCGGTGTGGTTTGGTCATTTATGGGTCCAATCAAGATCAAAAATCACCCGTCCTGTCCAAACAGCAGCGAAGGTTATGGGACTGATGCAGCTCTCCTCCGTGATTAACCAGGAGGGAAACGAGTACATCAGATCCTTTTTATATTCTTAATTCTGCACATCAGAACCTCTGGCAAACATTTCAGGGCTCCCAGATGTTGATCAGATAATAATTTGCTCTCTCTCTTATGTCTTATCTATTAAAAGTAATTAATGCAAATAATTGGCAAGGATAAATGCAACTGTGTATAAACTGAGCGTGCTGTAAAATATGTATGTGTAATGTGATGGAACTGTTGCAACGAGTTATGCGTGTGTAACAGAGGGGATGTATTTAGATGTACAGAGCCGCTGTGCGTCAGTAAAACCTTTCCCCTGGGGGACAACAGAGTTTAGGGTATCTTAGCTCAGAGATCGCACAGTGGGGTTCAGCCCACGCCCAAGGGGGAGCCCTTCTGACCTCCAGTCAGCTCCGGGGGTTGATCCTCTGACACAGGGCGGGCCCATAGGAGGGTAACTCCTAGGCCCACACGCCAGCGCTTCATTCAGCCATTTAAAGGCTCCGTGACCCCAAACCAAGCTTTACCTTTGCCCGAAAGCTCACACTAAACCCAGCGTGCAGCGTGCAGCGTGCAGGCTTCTGGCGCTCACCTGGTACTGGGCGAGGTGGAAGAGCGCAGCGGAGCGGTTGGCCAGGCACAGGGCCAGCTCCTGGCTGCCCGGGTCCGCCTGGCACACGCCCTGCGGAGAGAGCAAGCACTAGACTGTGAGAGGGCCACCCCCCCACCACCACCACCACCACCACTCTGGCGCCACCTCCTGGCCGCTCGCAGAACTGCAACGGCATCGGACGCATGAGCGCTCAGGCAGGCCGGGAGCCGGGTTTCCGAATGCAGCGTCAGCGGAACGGCGCTGGGGGAGGGTGCAGGGCGATGGCCGCCCCTGGGGTGCCCCACGCCGCCAGGACAGCTGTCCTGGAGTCTTACAGGGCGCAGGACTGGAGCACGAAACACATGACCCTCATCTGCTGGGCAGCCAGACAGGCCCAGACCCTGCACGGCCAGCTCTGTAAGAGGTGCCGAGCGACAGCAGTCTGGGGGCGCAGTCAGGCACCTGGACTCCCAGCTGGAAGGTGTGTGGGTTCGAATCCCCAGTGCGATCATACCCCTCAGCCCCAGTACTGCACTGAGACATGCCTCCAGTACAATGATTACAAACATAAACTGCTTTGCTTTTCTGGACTAAGCTGCAGACTTATATTAAAAAAGAAACCAATATCAATATTGATGAAAAAAGATGTTATGTTGAGTTTCAGCCCCATCGAAAACAATATTAAAATTTCGTTGGTAATAAATGTAATTATTCTAATGGCACGTTATTATATACATAAAATGCTTGAGCATTTTAAAATGGATGTAAGGGGGGTATTTGCAGACACAAATATGAAAGCAGTGCAGACATTATGTTTATTTAATTTGTTTAATCTTTTTTCCTAACTTGAAGTTATGTAGTAGTATGTACCCCTGGCGATCTTTTTGTCTTGAACTGTTATATGCGCTCTTGTTTGTATTGTAATTTTTGTTATTCTGTTATGCATAAATACTTTTTTTTTTTAAAACCTGCTGTGGGTGCAAGCACCAGCCAAATAAAAATGAATACAAATAATGAAGCAGCAATGTCAGGTAACAGAGACTGCGCAGGTGACGCGTGAGCAGAGCCGGGTGTGCCTGTAAATGAAACGGGACCGGTGACCTTAGAATAGCGCAGCAGTGCCCCCAGGTAGTCTCGTGCCTTGAACTTCCCGTTCCCCTGCTCCCTGAGCAGGCGCGCGCAGTCCGGGCTCTTGCGCACGGAGCGTCCTCGCGCCGCGCGCGACAGCAGCGCCGCATCTTCGCCGCTGACGGGGCGAGGGAGGGAGGGAGAGGGAGAGAGAAAGAAAGAGCATCAGGCCTTCGTCCGCCTCGGCACTGAAGCAGCGCTGCCCCAGCTGAAGACGCTTCAACATGCGGTTGACTTGAGATAACTACTTTTTAACGACCGCAGAGCCAGGAAGAGCGCTGCTCCCTTCACGGAGCAGGGCTGCAGTTTCACTGCTGCCCGTTTGGGGTGTGAGAGGGGCCAGCAGGGGGCGCTCACCCTGCGGTCTGTGTGGGTCCTAATGCCCCAGTATAGTGACGGGGGCACTATACTGTTAAAAGGTGCCGTCCTTTGGATGGGATGTAAAACCGAGGTCCGGACTCTCTGTGGGCATTAAAAATCCCAGGGTGTTTCTTGAAAAGAGTAGGGGTGTAACCCTGGTGTCCTTGGCAAATTTCCCCCTGGCCTTTACCAATCATGGCCTCCTAATAATCCCCCTCTCTGAACTGGCTTCATC